TTACCAAAAGCCAACACAATCATTTTTTCCTATTGTTTTATTACCAAAAGCCAACACAATCATCATACATTTTCTCTCTCACACGCTACCTCTCCTCCTTTTTCCCCATTTTCAGCCGAACCACACACACAGTCTCTGCCTATCCACTCAACCAATATAATATTCTTCCTTACTCTCTCTTCTCACTGACTTCCACTCAACTCTTCCCCTTCTATTTATATTTTCTGCAGTGCTGGTCTTAGAGATTTTTGAGGCACAATATCAAAAAAAGTGTTCTAGTATAACCCCACGTAAGAAACAAAATTCAATTGTTTTAGTGTTCGTATTTGTGCATGCCAATATAACTTTTCTTTGATAAAATGATAGCGGGGTGTAAGAGATTATGCTAAGCAATAAGATGGGTTAGTTATAATTTGGTATCTAACTTATTATTTAAAAGACTCAAACCTAAGACATCCTACTTATAAGTGAAGAAAATATAAATTTCACATCTAAGCTATAACATTACACGTTAGTTTGTAATTAGATAAGGGTACACAAATATTTCACAAGCAAAAATCAATTAAAGTATAACAGGTGTTTTTGTATAAAACTTATAGTTATGGGGATAATTTTCTAATTTACCGTCCCTTGGGACATCATAAGAATTGTCATACTTTACTATCTCTAATTTTTATATATAATGTTATAAACAATGAATGAACCAAACAAATTATTGAAAAACCAAGTACCACATATATGTTATTTAAAAATATAACTCATTTGTTCTTGGATAAGAAATAAAAGTAACACTAAACCTTAACATTATATTGAAACAGAACATCACTGCTAAAAAGAAAAAGGCCCTCAGTTTGATCTGAACCTAGGTGGCTATTATTATTATATTATTATTATTATTTGCCGAAGGGTGGTAATTAATTGAAAAGGAATTTGTAAAACCACTTTTGTCAAAGGTACGTATAGAAATATGGGAACTTTAACGAAAAGCACCCGGTACTGTTCACTTTAACGAAAAACCACATTTTTACACTAAAAAGTCAATCCAGGTACTATTCACTTTACCCTTTATTTTGTCCTTATCATTAAAACTCAAAGTTTTCAAACCCTTTTCATTAGTTTTCCTTATAAATATAGCTACTTATTTAAACCAAAGATCAAATCATTCATAAAGCAAAGGGGTCAGTTTTGAGATTCGAACCGTGTTCTTTTCCATTGCAAGAAATCAGTGAAACACTGCTGCAAATAACAAATTATGACAAATAATCCAGTTTTATATTTTATATGCTTACTGGACATAACTTTATAACAATAGAAATTAAATATTTGTGTGCCCTTGATTTTTTGGGGCCCCGTGATGTCGCCCTGGCTGCTCTGGGCTAGGGTCGGCCCTGATTTTCTGCCATCCCACTTCGTCTCTCTATTTTACATCTCTCTTTCCCTCAAACTCTCTCATTCTTCTGCATGCACAAAGAGGCCAAGACTTGTGAGTTTTTTCTAAGTAAGAGAGCAAATGCTCTCCTTTGTTATCATGCAAAGGAGTTAGTCAATATGCATGTAAGCTTAAGTTCTGGAGATTTTTAGATGGGTTGTCTTGTCAAAGCTCGAATTATCAAGATGAGTGACTTTTGTAATGTGATACAATTTATATTTATTTTCAAATATCTCTATTTCAATTCAAGCATGTTGGATTGGTGGAAATGCTTTCGGAATTATTAATATAGTATATGTGGATATTTGGAATTGTTCATGGAGCATGAGAACTTTAGTGTTGCATTAATCCGAGGGATAAATGTAAACTGCACACAGAGACATTAGGGCAGAATGACCAATAGGAGTCACGTGGTGAGTTACTATTTATGAAGGATATAATAAACACGTAAATGGATGATGTGATATGGCACTACGTGCATAATGATTTGATATTATTATTGTATTTTCTATAGTGATTAAAATGACATCGCTTGACTGGCATATTACATATTCTACTCACTGAGCGACGTGGTTGTTGCTCATCCCTCACTTTTTTATTTTACAAATGAGTTATTTGACAAGACAGATGCTAGACGAGCTGAGATTGTTTTAGACAAGGGATTTAAGAGTTTTCCTTATTTTTTGTACTCTTGTAGGATTTTGTAATAGTTACTTGTATAAAAGAAGTTCTTGTTTTACGTTTTTAGTTTTATTTTACTTTTATTCGTGCATTGGGTGTGGGGTCCCATCAACTCTGGTTCCGGGGCGTGACAGTTTTGAAAATTAATATAATAATTTTAGAGGGACCTAGGCTTTTTTTTTTATAATAATTTTAGTGAAATTTAATATATAACATATAAATAAATGTTTATTTATACTTTGAAAATTACATAATTGTACTTGGATATATAAATTGCAAAGTATAATTACATATAGATTATAAAGTATTAGATCATACTAAAAACATAGGGAACAAACATATAATGAGTGTGCACCAAGTATTCAACAAGTCACTTCCAATTTATTAAAAAAATAAATGCAAAATAAAAGTTATTTATCTTTTATCTAAGTAAGAGTTGTGACATAGGCAGGTGCTTAGGCAAGTCTAGATGAGCTAGAATGGCGCCTTGCCTGCCTAGGCACCCTTTCTTAGTTTTCAAAAGCCTAGAAAATTAGGTGTCGTTTCTTAATTTTCAAACGCCTAAAAATAAATTGGAATTGTGACCAGCCGCTTAACGCCTAAACAACATTAGTGGTGATTTTTAGAACACTACTTATAAAACATAACACAAGTAATAGTTCTTTTCTACACACCATAAAAACAACTACAAACTTGGGCTTCATCCCAATAAAAGTAATGTATGAGGCTAAAAAGTGGCCACATCACAAAAACACTAGAAGCTCTAAAACCAGTGTTGAAAGAAATATTGCATTACAAAGGGTTATGATTTTCACACTCATGATTTATCCTCCTGCGCTTCTTTTATTTCTCATGTCCCTTATTCTTCGTTGACTTTTATATATCCCAAAAAATAAAGTGCAAAAAACTATATATCCTACTGCATGTTATGGCTAATCCTCAGTGAGATTTAACTAAAATTTTCATTATCTTAGTGTAGATACTATCATTTGTTTAAAAAAAAAAAACAAAAAAAAAAAACTCATCCTGCTACAAATTCTAATTGTTGAAACTTGAAAGTCCTAATTTCCCAATATAACAAAAACAAAGTGTGTCCAGCCATCCATAAGCCCAAAAATACCCAATGATATTCACCCAAAAAAAATACCCAATGATAATTTAAAACCTGGAAGCCCAATAATGAAGCAAATTAAAGTCCTACTCAACATGCTCATTCAAAAAAAAAAAAACATGCTCGTTCAAAAAAGGGAAATTTTATTTGAACTCACATAACTTCTTTCTACACTTAACTTAAATTTTAAATGTTAATTATCTTTTTTATCATATTGTATAATTACAATCAAATACAATATAAAATTAATAATAAAACTTAAATTTATCAATAAACTCACACCCTATAATTAAACCCACCATCATTCCTTATTTATTCTATGTTCATTCCGGCTAAAACCCTAATAGCTCTTATAGAAAAAAACAAGTTTTTTTTTTTATCGATAGATGGTGATTTTGAAGTTTTGAATACTCCTAAGGTATAAATCAATTTGTGAAAAAAAAAAAAATCGTTTGATTTCAATTTTTTAGAGTTTAGAAAATGAGTATTTGGGTTTCATTTTTTTCGTCAATCCAGGTTGCGCATAGTTTGATAAACTTTCTATGGGAAATAGTGCAGATGTTACAAAAGATGTTGCAGACACCAAATTTACTTGATACGAAATCCTATCTGCAACAATCGCAGTGAAAGTATTAAGAATTTGTTGCAGACACCAAATTTCTTGGTTACTAAACCCTTTCTATGGAAGGTTGAAGTATTAATAATTTGTTTGGCATATTAGAAAGAAAAAATTGTTTCTTTGGCATTACAATTTGTTGCCATATTAGTTTGTCCTCCCATATTAAGCAACCATTAGTTACCATGCTATCACTGACCTTTCATGAATAAGTTGATAGCCCGTGAAAATTGAGGGGCATTTGCTTTACTAGGAAGATTATACAAAAAAGATTAAATAAGATGCACACATAGGAGATGCCATAGTCTTGTAAAAGAGCTCCGGTTGGAAATTTGAAACTTAACAAAAAAATCAAATAAGATGCAGTGAAGCAATTGATAGAAAAATTTCAGAAAGAAATTTTAAAAAGCTTAGCCACTAGCTAAAAGCTTAAGAGGAGACAAAGGGCTAAAAGCTCTGTTTCAAAGAGCTCAAGGTGGGAGGGGAGACAAAGGACCCAAAATATTTTTTATTTCAAGTTTCTTTGAATACACAACCTTTGAAGCATCTTCTTCTGCTCAAGAAAATCTATTATTCCTACATGCAAATAAAATCAAGGGTACATGAATACCAAGAAAACAAGAAATTGAAAAGTGTTAGGTATATGGAAGATTCATAAACAAGTAGAAGCTTCACCAAATTAATTAATTTTGGATTTTATTTTTTAAATGGGTGTAAAGATAAATTACATTTTTAATTGGATTTGGGAGGGTAATTTAGGTAATAATTTTGGGTTTAAAGAGATATTAATTCTTTAATTAAAAATAATAAGGGTTTGAAGAGTAAATTTGGTGTAGAAAGATGTTATATGGGTTCAAATAAAATTTCCCTTCAAAAAAATTCTTTTAGCCGTGTGTAATAATGATATATTTATCACACAAAAAAAAATAGAGCTTTAATAAAAAGGGCTTGGATGAAGATTATTTTAACAAAAAACCTACCTAAAATATTGTTTAACAAAAAACTCTTTAAATTTAACCATAAGGGCTGACACGCCTCAATCTTGATGTCCGAGGAACATCGGGATGGCCACGTGTTGGCTAACACCCGAGGGTGACGCAAACCATTTAATGAATGCATATGCTGAGAACATGTGAAACATGCATCTAAATTTCGCACATAAATATCAATGTAATAATTAAATACAAGCTACTAAAATAATATAATAATATTCAATTGCCAACAATGACATGTTCAGAGCATACAACTAATCCAGAATACAAGCAGAAGATAAAATAGAGAGGTGATATTACAATAGATGTCAAAGCAGAGAGGATGATATGATATCACTGGTAAGAGAATGCCTTGTAGCTCATATCGTACGCCTCGTTCTTATGTCCTGAGGGGGCGCAAAACAACATGAGTGGACCAAGTTGATATATACATATAATACTGAAACAGTTATCAACATACTAACCCCCCAAGTTTTATGAAAACTCGGTAGCATAATATGTAATAGATTTTCCGAAAATCCTAGCATGCCATAAAACTTTTCAGAAAACATATGTCGTGTATAGTGTGCTAACTAGTGCTATCAGTATTGCCCGAAGGCACATAGAACTCTTCCTTCAGAACAGTTCCTTCACAAGTATCAATCGCCCATAGGCTCCTACATCACCCATCTGAAGACATATATAGTGACCACTAGATAGGCACAAAACATTTAATATAATCTTTCCAACACAAATGCGTATATCTCAAAACCACTTCGTAGTTTATAGTCATCCATCGTATATACTACAAAGAGTGTAAAAACATGTTCATAAATAGTATATAGTCATCCATCATATATACTACAAAGAACATAAGTTCGATAAAGTTTGGTATTCCAAAATATTCTCAGTAAGCATGATAATCATAAAGTGTGAATCTAATTTACTCATAAAACGTAACCATTAAATCATGATTTTTATGTATGCATTTCTACTATTAAAACATACATTTTAGAATGGGTCCACTCACAGATACTCCGTCGTCGATAATTGCACCTAAGCACATAAATGGTCCAATTAATAAAACTCTACTCAAATGATTGAATTTCAGAAAACGAACATAAAAAAACGGATCCAGGACGTCAAAATTAGCCTAGGGGAGGTCCCAACCGAAACCCAAAAAAGTCAACAAAAATTCAACGTTGACGGGTCAACGGTCAAATGGTCAGATCAGGTCAACTGGGTCGGATCACGGACCGGGTCAAACGGGCATGGGGTTTGGGCTTGGGTTTGATGGGCCTGGGCTTCACAACTAGGCCGAGTTCTATGGCCCAGAGGCCTGGGTTTAATGGGTTAAGTTTGGAGTCCAACGGGCTGAATGCCCGAGTTCAAACGGTGGTCTGAGGGTTCTAAAGGGCTTGGGTCTTGGGGGGCCTAAGGCTCGAGTCCTAAATGGCCCAAAGGCCTAAGTGACATAGGGTTTGGGGTTTAGGCTAAAAGGGTTGGGCCCATTAGAAGAGAAAGCTGGAATCTGATCGAAAAATTCCCCCGATTTCGATTAGGGGTTGAAACTCAACCAAAAATGATCATTCTAAAGCCAAATTGAAGATAAAATAGTAGAGATCCGAGTTGTACCAAGATGAGGTTGTGTCGAGGTTGGGATTAGCTAGAAAATTGCCTGCAATTTATGGTCTCTTGCTGGAAAATTGAAAACTGCTTCCCTGAGCTATTTTCGTGCTCAAACCTTCACCAAAACCATTTTCCATTTAATAATTAAGAAGTCTAGACTACGAGGGAAAGAGATTGAAGGGTGATTTCGACTTACCTTTGTCGGAAGAGCTTGCACCGTGACTGCAACGGTGTAGGGAATGAGAAAGGGAGAGTTGGGTGTTTGGTCAAGGTCGAGGGTCGTCGTCACTGCCAACAAATGGTGATGATGGTGTATGTGTGGGTGGTTGTATGTCGCCAGGAAGGGAAAAAGAAAAGGGTCCGCGAGAGAGAGATCTATAAGAAGGAGAGATGAGAGTGAGAGTTGAAAGAGAAAGAGTGTGTGTTGACTCGGGGGGGGGGGGGGGGAGAAAGAGAGAAGGAGATGGGGTGTTGCCACATGACAGGCAGAAAAAGGAAGAGAAGTTATAAAAATGATAACAAGCATCTAAAAAGGGATGGGAAATCTGGATAGGGTAGAAGGATAAGGGGGCGAATTCGTAACTTCATTATTTTCGTTAAAACGAAATTACATATTTTGGGACGGGGTTTAACAAAGACAAAAGCCCTAAATTATACACAGGCTGAGTTACAAGGCCCAACACGCTCGAATGTAACTTTCCATAATTGAAAAAGAGAAGAATAAAAGTTTCTCTCTCTTCACTCTCATATTTAATTTTTTATTAAATTGTTTTCCAATGAAATTGGAACATCTAGCATCCCTACATGTTTTAAGAAATTATGTGGTGCCCCACCTCTCACCCTTTATGCGTCACATCATTTAGCTCTCTCTTTAAAAAAATACATACATACATACATACATACATACATATATATATATATATAGTTGTTCAAATGCTTTTTACATCATATGTTTTACACTTTCATTTTGTTTTAAATTTACAATAAATTCATATGATTTCTATAACATATTTCTTAAAGTACTATGGAGTTGTAATTATTTAAATTTTCATTTCATTCTATCAAATTCACCAAAGTACTAAAAATAAATAATAAATTTACTTATATTTGCCTAGACTTCCATTCGACTAGCACCTAACATCTTTTAGAACCATGAGAAACAATGTGTGTTATTCAGTTTTGATCATTAAGTGATGACATGACAAATATAAAACTTACATGTGTTTATGATGTGGGAAAAAAATTAATTAAATATTAAAAAACCATTTTAAAAATAAAACTAAATTAAAAGTTATAAGGGACCCGCCCACCCACCTTCTTCTCCAAGGAAAGATGCAATTTTTTATTGTGACGGGAACATGGGTGGTACACTACATGTTTTTATGTAAGTGGTGAAATTGTTTATTTTTTAAGTTATTAACTTTTTAACACACATATCCTACCATTTGTATAATGACACGTGGTGTACCACTTCGTGTGCCGGTCACACTAAAAAATCTCTCCAAGAAGAGAGATGGCGTCCATCAAACTTTCATTACAATTTCAGAAATTGCAGAGGGCAAATGAGGTTTCTATCTCATCTTTTCTCGATCTCTCTCTCCGCAGGGAGCGCATCCTCTATCTCATCTTCTCTCGATCTCTCTCTCCACGGGAAGCACATCCTCTATCTCATCTTCTCTCGATCTCTCTCTTTCCGGGAGCGCCGCTTCAATTCCACCATGAGTAACAATGAAATGTAAAGCTTAACAAAAAAATCAACTTTTGTCATTTTTATATGAATGGAGGATATGCAGCAGAGGTAGGAAAAATCAACTTTTGTCTTTTTTATTTTATTTTTATTTTTATTTTTTGGAGAATACTTTTGTACTTTTTATATGAACGGAGGAAATGCAACAGAAGTAGGAGGAGGGAGGGACGACGTGTTGTGTTGCTGTCAGGGGTAAAATTGGAAATTCAATCTTTGGGTCATTTTAATTGGACTGATTTAGAGTTAGGCTTTGTCATAACCATTAAATAAGTACATGATTTTTTGTTAATATTCAAAGTTTTGAAACTTTTTTCATTAGTTTTCCTAAAAAGAAAAAGTTCGTTTAGACGTGTCTAATATTCTATGAGATTGGGAACCTAATTCTTCATTTTGGTCTTTACAATAAAAATTGATAGAAGTGGTTATTGAGTTTTTCAACTGTAACTTATTTTGGTCATTTCGTAAAAAATTTGTCAGTATCCTCGTTAATCAGATGAGTTGGTTTAACCAAAATATCCTTTAAACGGTAATCACGTGATCGTTCAGTGACTATTTAATGAGAATATTAATAGTTTTTTTTTCACGGAATAACCAAAGTAAAGAGATATACCAAACCACTATTTTAGCCAAAAGCCTTCAGAAAACTCCAAACTCCGACCATTCGCAAATTTGCATAACTCGTGGATTGGATTAGCCGGAAGCCGAGTAGAATTCAGACGCGCACGCCTCTTAATTTCCCCGGAGCTGCTTCCACTATCCCCAGAAACCACCTAATTAAATTAACAAAAATTGAAAAAATCAAGTTATAAAACCTAGCTCACACCATAACTGGAAACTCATAGATCATCATGGTATGCTTTTTCTTTTAACTCTTTTTTATTTCCAAAAGCATTCGCAGAATCACAAACACGATTTGTTTTTTGTATATTTTTACCAGATATTTCCTTTAAACTTTTGGGTCGTTTTCTTGTTAAATTTAGCATTGATAGTACTTTTGAGAGAAAAAAATGGGGAGGGATAAAAGCATAGACAAAGTCACCAAGCAGCATAACCAGCGGCGACGGAGACACAAGGAGAAGGAAAGCGGTCATAGCGGCCGCCGCCGTGGCAACAGCGGCTGTCGTCCTACCAACTGTTGGTGTCTTAAAGAAATCCTTCTTGTCATCTTGGTTTTGTTTCTTCTTTATGTTTGGCATCTGATTTTTGACAGTGCATCGTACCGGGACACATGAGGGTGGTGACAAAATGTTTTGTACATCGATGGTTGGGAAGGGTGGGTGGATGCCTGGATGGAGCTCCATGCACCTTAATTTTATAACAATATTCCTTTAACTTCAACATATACAATTTATAAATAAGAACAAAATGTGTTGAAAGACTTAATTAAGTTGTAATTAAGTTGGTTAGAGCTTGTGTTTTCTCATCTACGTATTAAAGTTTAAATATTTCTCCTTATATTTGAGATGAATTTAGCGTTAAACATCACTTGTATCAAAAATAAATAAGATGGATTGAATATAGTACAGTTTATTTTCATAAATACGAATATAAAAGTGTAGCAAATCCCAGCAATACTGGATTTTTCTTGGATATAAAAGTGTTTTTTGTTATTATTTATTATTTTTCTTGTTTTTACGATGATCCTTGTGTTTTTTCTTCTATTTATTCATATCGTTGTTGATCAAAGAAAAATTAGAAGAATATTAATTTTGTATTTTTGTGAAGAAATAGAGAAAAACAAAAGGATTAGCTTGTCCAACTATGTTTGATCAAACGTTCCAATAATTTGGTGTAAGGTCAAACAAGTTAGCAGCATGGGTGCATATATTTACTCACTAACCTATTTATTACTGTATGGTGAATTTTAATTTTGATATTTGTGCCTATTTACTATACAGATCTTGAAATTTAAACTCATCTATCGATGATAAATATGATGTTGAACAAAAATATTATGGTCGAATTCAAGTTGAAAGGGACTTGAATGAGAAACGAAATTTAAAGTGCATAAGCTAAAGTTTGATAACACTAGGCAATACAAGTGAACTGGTCTATAAGTCATAGATGAATGCTTTATGGTCAAAATTGACCAATTTTTATGAGAATCATTTGCGCGGATTTTTTAATGTAACAATCACTGTAAATGTGTCGTTATTAAGTCAAGTGTTATAATGTGTTGACGAAAACTTTATGTTTGACTTGGAGTATATGATACTGATAAATAAATAGACATTTATCATGAACGAAGGAATAATACTACATGACATGGAGGAATAATCATAAGGTTTAGATGATCAAACTAAAAAGTTTCCGAGACCAAAAATAAAGGTTAAAGTGCAATATCTCGTGCTGTATTGTTTCTGGTACTTATTTTTTGGATTGTACACTCTTCCTTATGCAGCAAGAAACACTTTTATCTTTGATTGTGAGGGTTTCGGATAGAAAAATCATTTATTGATATGTATTCTGACCTAGTTTAACCCATGAACCCAATCCAATTGTCTTATCCCTTCTCACTATTGCAATATTAGCTTTAGGTGGCGGATAATAGTGGCGGATATTATAAATATTTTGTCGGATAAATTATATCCGACACATCATTTAATTAGTGACGGATATTAGAAAAATATTGTCGGTTATATCCGACATAAAATCCTGGCGGATATTTAGTGACGGATATCAAAAAAATCATGTCGGTTATAACCAACAGTATTTTTGAATTTAAAAAAAATATATTTTTGACATATTCTAACGGTTTTAAGTTCATGGTGTCGGTTATAACCGACGGAATTTGACTATTTTATTATTTTACTTTCTAGCGGTTATTATTTTAGTATTATGACGGTTATAACCGACAGAAATGAAAATTTTATTATTTAACTTCATGTTCATCCATAAGAAGATTGGCAGTCTTAAGATCCCTGTGGATTATATTATTTTGGTGCAAATAGTTCATTCCCTTGGAGACTACAATTGCTACTTTGAGTAGAGTTGGAAGCTTAAACACTGTGCTTATGCAGAAAATCGTATACACTTCCTTTGGACATAAATTCTGATAAGCAGGAACATGAGCATCAAAAGGTGGTCATCAGTGAATTCAAATCGCATTAAATTAAAATTCGTAAGTGTTGACAATCAATATATCACTATTCTCTTCAATTGTAACCAATTAGACGTGGTATAACAAAGATGAAAGTACGGCACCCATCCATAGAAATCATGACTACTCAAGAAATAAGATACTTGTGCACATGAGAATCATTAGTGTATATATATATATTCTCTCAGATAAACCTGTCACAATGCATAGGTTTGGAGGTCGTGTACATGCTCCTATAAATTGCACAACATTCTTGTGCCGAATCTTCCTGCCAAATGTCATGATATCAAGAAGTTTACAACGCTGCATGGAAAATGACAACCGTCATCAACAAGTATAAGTAGGTATATGGATGCACCTCAATATATAAACTTCCTGTGAAAAATCCCTGAGCATCTCTGCATTGACACGCTCAGAATGCGTATCGTAGAATGCGTATCGCATCAAAACGTTTCGTATATTGGATCGTTGAAAAACGTTTCGTAGAATGCGTATCGTATCAAAACGGTAGATTAAACCAACACTTAGAGTTAATGTTATACTTCTCCATCAAGTATAAAATAAGATTTTGTGGTATTCAATAGTGTAAATATTTTAAATTGAAGATCAAATTTGTTCAATGCATTGTTATAGGGTCGAGGAGTGTAGGTGTAAAAAATCATCAAAATCGGAGCTAAAATAACCGTTAAATTGTGATTTTTCGTTTATAACCGTCGAAAACTTTTGTTTTGTTACCTAATCTCTAAATGTTTGTTTTTTGTGATTTTTTACGTATGTGATCTTGGAGTGTGTACAAACAAGTTTGACGGTTAGATCATTGAAAACAGTTTCATAGAATGTGTATCGCGTCAAAACGGTAGATTAAATAAACACTTAAGAGTTAATGTTACACTTCCATTAAGTATAAAATAAGATTTTTGTGGTATCCACTAGTGTAAATATTTTAAATTGAAGATCGAATTTGTTCAATGCATTCTTATAGGGTCGAGGAGTGTAAATGTAAAAAATCATCAAAATCGGAGTTAAAATAACCGTTAAATTGTGATTTTTCATTTATAACCGTTGAAATTTTTTGTTCCGTTACCTAATCTCTGAATGTTTGTTTTTTGTGATTTTTTATGTGATCTCGGAGTGTGTACAAATAAGTTTGACGGTTGGATCGTTGAAAAAAGTTTCGTATAATGCATATTGCGTCAAAACGGTAGATTAAACAAACACTTGGAGTTAATATTATACTTCCAATAAGAATAAAATAGGATTTTGTGGTATCCACTACTGTAAATATTTTAAATTGAAGATTGAATTCGTTCATTGCATTATTATAGGATCGAGGAGTGTAGTTGTAAAAAAATCATCAAAATCGAAGCTAAAATAACCGTTAAATTGTGATTTTTCGTTTATAACCGTCGAAAACTTTTGTTCCGTTACCTAATCTCTGAATGTTTTTTTTTTTGTGATTTTTTACGTATGCGATCTTGTAGTATCTACAAACAAGTTTGATGGTTAGATCATTGAAACTAGTTTCGTAGAATGCATATCTCTGTTAAATTTGCCTAAATTTTGAAGTGCGAAAAGTAATTTGTGTTAAATTTTTATTTATGTTTTTCAAGTATTGATTAGACAATATTTAGTTTATGTGATAACATTTTCATTGTACAATTATCTTTTTGTTTCTTTATTGCATATTTTACATGAGTTATTATCTATTAAACCAAGCAATTATTTATTTAATTTTTAAGAACGTATTCTATTTAAATACTTATTATTTATTTATTTATAAAACCAAACAATTATTATTTTATTTTTTAAAATCGTAACAAAATTTTGTAGGGGAATTTAGAATTTTGGGAGGGAATTTTGGAGGGATTTTTGCAGCCATTTTTTTTCTGTCGGTTTATATTTTAAAAAAATGTTTTTGTCGGTTTTAACCGACAGTAACGAAATTTTTTCAACATAATACCCCTCCATCTCTTCTTGCGCCGGTGCCTTCTCTCTTCCCCCCTTCCTTCCCCCTTTTCTCCTCCCTGCATTTCCTTCTCTTCCCTTCTCTCCTCATTTCCTTCTCCCTTCCCCCTTCCTTCCCCCTTTTCTCCCCTCCCTTCCTTTTGCCAGGTTCAACACTTGCAGTTTATTGGGTTACAACCATGAAATCGTCAGATACAGATGCATCAACATACAGTTTGGAGCATAAGATGTTGGACCAAGGAGTGCAGGTACAAATTTCACCTTTTAACATTTTAAGAGATTATTTTGGACGTCTTCTTTTGCAGTCTAGTTGTTGTCTTTGTTCTACGTAGTTATTTTTGTTATCTCAATATTTCATGATTTGGAAGCAATATGTTGTCCAACTGTACTATATTGGCCACTTGCTAAGGAAACTATGCTAAGTAAATCTAGCTTCCTATCTGATTTGATCTATACTATGGCCTTGTCTGGCTTGGTCTTCTCTGTGTGTCATTTCCTGTTTCTGATAGGTTAGATTTCTTTGTAACTTCTCCATGTTTCTAATACTACTTCTATAGCTGATTTGGTTGTATTGAACATCGCAGTTTCTGGGAAATGGTTGGAGGTTGTTCTTCGGGAAAATGTTCCCCGTGTTCTCGCAAAAGTGTTGTGGTGCATTCATGAAATGTGTGGCCATTACTTCAAATTGGATTATGTTAAGCACCTCCCACTTGTTGCAGGTTCTATGATAGATCTCCATTATCATAGATCTCATCAAATGCAGTGAATGCAGGAGATATGGAAAATGCAAAAGTGCAGTGAATATGGAAAATGCAGAAAGTGGTTGTTTATTTATTTTTTATTATTAATATCGTTTCTGTCGGTTTTATCCGACAAGAATGCTTTTATTTATTCTTATTAATACATTTTCTGTCGGTTAAATTCAACAGAAATGCTGTCGGTTTTTGTATTTTATGTTGGTTTTAGCCGACAGAAATACTGTTATTTATTCCTTATTGATATATTCTCTGTCGGTTATAACTGACACAATTTCTGTCGGTTTTAGAGTACTGTCGGAAAATTCATTTCCTAACACATGCAATTATGTCGCTTATTATATCTGTCATTGCATCCATTTTCTGTCGAATTTTGCTTAAAATCTGACGGTAATATACGTTTTTTGTTTGTTTTTGGACCGACAGCTATAGATAATTTTGTAGTAGTGTCTTATTCTTAATAATTGTCTGAACTGTGAATTATCTTCTGACCCATGTTGGCCTTGTTTACACTAGAGTGCATTTTTGCTCACTACCATTAAGTTAAATGGTGGTGCTACTCATCAACTCATAGATTGTAGTTAAGTTTAAATTAAAATTTGACCAATAAATAAATTAAAACGTTTTTATCGCAAATAGTCTCTGAAATTGATCATCACCATTAAGAAGGTCTCTGAAATTAAAAATCAATCAATATAGTCCCTGAAAATAGGTGTCGCAAATCAATGTGGTCTTTCCATCACAACTCTGTTAACAATTAAGTTAAGTGATGATGTGGCACATAAATGGGCCCCACAAGATTTACAAGTTTTTACCACAAATGGTTCCTGAAATTGACCTACACCATCAAGATGGTCCCTAAAATTGACCCACACCATCAAGATGGTCTCCAAAATTGAAAATCGATCAATGTAGTCCTTGAAAGTAGGTGTCGCAAATCAATATGACAATTCCGGCACAATTCTGTAAAAAAATTTGTTATGTCCTGATGTGGGTTTAATAATTAATTAAAAACGCTGTCGAAATACCATTTTGCACAATGAAATTTTTTTTTTCTTATAGTAGGGCTTACTCTAAAGAGAGATTCGTTCCATAAATTCTTAAAGGCACAAGACTTAACCAAGGCCTAAAAGGGGGTGTGGAAATAGTTTTCAACCAACAATAGATACACCTCAGTTATAACCTCATTATCTCAAGGCAGACATCATCATTCTTTGCATCACTAGACCACCAGGGAAGCACTGAACAAGTTAAGGTTATGAGGATGTTGATCGCCTAAATGTCAACGGTGATGTCCCAGAAGTCTTTGCCAATAGCCAAGTCGTCACCAAATGTGATCTCGATCCAGGTTTAACTCGGTGAAGGGCATCGAAATGTGTATACTGAGATTTTTTTTGGAGAACAAATAACGAATGAGGTAGAGAAATGTGGACTGGGATCAGAGGTGATTGTAGGACTGGTTTTTGGGTTGACAATTTTTTTATTAACTATTAAATTATTAATCCTATTTGTAATTTTTTTTATAAATTTAATTAGACTTGTGTGACTCATTTATGTGTCACATCATCACATAACAGAATTTTTGACAGAATTGTGATGGAAAAACTACATTGATTTGAGACACTTACTTGCAGGACTACATTGATCAATTTTCAATTTCAGGGATCATTTTGATGTCGGATGTCAATTTATGGGACCATTTTGATGTCGCGGGTCAACTTCAATGACAATTTGTGAGAAAAAAAATGAATTTGTGGCATATTTATGTGCCACATCAACACTTAACAAAAAATTTAACAGAATTATGACAAAATGACCACATTAATTGGCAACACCTATTTTCAGGGACTACATTGATTAATTTTCAATTTCAGGGACCATCTTGATGGTGAGGGTTAATTTCATGGACCATTTGTGATTAAAAAAAAACCCTAAATTAAATGAAACTCATCTAATCAAAATCAATGAAGTGATGGGCGTCACCACCACCGGCAAAAATATTTCCGGTGTGTAGGGTTTCTCTCTTTAATGAAAGCTTATATGACGGTAAAAAATGTACTTCCCTTAGACCAGTAGGTAGTTTGTTTTGAGCCTCGTAGAAAATCAGGGCATCCCTTTCTACAATATAACAACAATTGGGCTAAAACCCATCAATAATACTGGGCCTGGAGTGTAGCAAACTGAGGAGTAGCCCGAGCCTATTTACGTAATTCTGTGTTTTTTCTTTTCTTGTTTTTTTTTTTTGGTTCGAAAAGATAAATTTCACTGCAAAGAAAGTAGGGCAATGCTATTAACACGGTTTTTTTTTTTTTACTTTTCACATATTTTTGTTAATTTTTGTCCATTAATCTTTCTTAACTCAGTCAATTTGACAACTTAAAATCCAACGGCTTTCATTCAGCTTTATCTAAATTTTGCCTTTTTGGATATCAAGCGGATTTTGAGGTGGTTGAATTATGCTATTTGGCAATAGAAATGAAAGAATGAGAATGATAAGAACCTTGTTACTCAGACCTTTTTGTTGCTTAATAATCAAAACCGTTTTAAGTTCACAGTCAGCTGTAAAGATTAACTCAACGGAAGATTAAATGAAAAATTATAAATTATTTAATCATTCAATTAATTTTGTCAAAATTTCAGCGTTTATATGTGAAACATTATTTGTCTATTTATTAGATAACTTTGTCAACATCACTAGTAATCA